AAGTAATGATAGAAAGACCCACAACAGTATTAATATATCATTTGAACTTGAATGTCGTAAACGATTTATCAAGTGCCTACTTACTACATTATTCAGAGGAAAATGGAAAAGTTTTCTGAATTTCCTGGTAGTAAAAGCTTCAAGAGTGATAACGCGAAAAGTTCACCATACTATGCTCAAGTTTCATGCTAAAGAGATAATAAAGTTCTCAAACAATTTTCCTTTCATTTATATTGACATAGCTGAAATTTTCAAGTATATAAACTGTGTTTAGAACTAAAGCAAAAGCTAAGCCGACTCGAAGCAATCCCTCCCTAATGGTTCGGATATATTCAGCTAGATATTTGCAGGAATATTAGCTTCACCACTCTGCATACCGAAATCCGCACACTAATGGCTTAGCTTTTATTTAGCCAACATCCTTGGCCTTAACTTGGTTGAAACGGTTGTATTAAATACAACCCAACGCCAGTTATAAATAATGCAATAGAGGTTTGATTATTATAACATTTCCGCAACTTTAAGCCCTCTAGTTAATTCGGACCCCGGATTTATTTAAATAGTCGGCTTTGAATTGTTAAGGGCGCAAACTAGGTAAAGCTATAAATAATGCGCATATTTAATCTTGGAATTGGATATTAAGTACTGCAAATGCAGCTCCATAAAGGTTGATATTAAACTTTGTAGAATATTGGGATTTATAGAAAAGTGGGGTTTCTAATCCGTACATGTGGACTTTTCCGGGAAAGACCAACCTAATGAATAAATCATCAGGACACATAAAAAGCGAAACATTTAAGCTGTTACTGTAGCCGAGTTCCCATTTTTCCCTGGCACAGAGCAGCTGCATCTAATTAAACCATTTGCAGAATTAAAGGATGCAGCATGATGCCTTATTATATTAACATACATTCATACCATAATTGCATGAATTAAACTGCCTGTAACTGTTACTTATTGTTTGGTCAGTAGGACATAAAAGATTAATTGTCAATCTTAAGACATGCATTATAGGGAATTATCATTATCTATCAATATAAAAGCAGTTGGCGTGCTAGTAAAATATTTTTTTTTCAGTCGCTCCTCGGCCAACGAGGAATATTTGACGTAAAATTAGAGAAGCTTTTAGTTTCATTACAGACTGTTCTTTGGCTGTTATCAATTTCACAGTTTAGATCCTGAAAGACGCCTGTTATGCCAGTAAAATATTTTTTTGTTTGCAATCGCTCCTTAACTAAGAAGGACTATTTGCCGTAAAATCAAAGAAACTTGCATTTTATTATCGAGTGTATTTTGACTGTTATCTCTTTAACAAATTAGATCCTGAAAGAAGCTAATCATGTCAGTAAATGGTTTTTCCTTTCAGTCGCTTTTGTGGCCAGGAGCAAGATTTGAGGGAAACTTAAAAAACTTTTAGTTCATTATTGATTATGCTCAAATTGAACGCGGAGCCAGACATTTAAGCATTATGCGTAAAAACATTTCTTTGTTGATGTTTCGTATAAAAAAGTGCGTATTTAATATTCTATCCGGCGATGACATCTCGATCTTTACAGCTCAACTGGTTCTCGCAATACAAGCCAAAGTCGGTTTTCACGACATGCGTTAATTTAAAATTTTCCCATTTTTCGTGAAAACCAGAAAAATCTCTAAATGGGCATTTTATATGTAATAGTGTGTATTTTAATGCTCTATCCACGAATGACAACTAGAACTTTATGGTAGCTAGCCGGTAACGAAATATGAGCCGAAGTCCTAAAGGTGGTTTACAAAATCCGCGTTAATTCTAAGTTTTCGAATTTATGACTAACAACGAGCGAAAGTCTAAGGGCTAATATTCTCATTTTGCGTGAAAAAACATTTCTAAATTGATGTTCTATATAGAAAAGTGGGTATTTTAATGGTCTATCGGGTGATGAGAACTGGAACTTTTCAGCTCAACCGACCTCTAAAAATGAGCCAAAGTCTAAGGGCGATTTTCAAAATCTGCGTTAATTTTAAATGTTCGCATTTTGCGTGGAAACTTCCAGAACTATTTTGTTGTTATCAATTTCAACATTTAGATCATGAAAAGGGCTGGTTTTGTGAGTAAAAGGTTTTTTTCTTTCAGTCGCTTTTCTGTTAAGGAGGAACTTTCTGGGAAAATCAAAGAACCATTTGGCTTCATTTTTCACCATTTTTTGGCTGTTCTAGGTTACTGAATTAATATCCTAAAAGCCATACTCATATGAGTAAAACTCATATGAGTAAAACTATTTTTTCCATTCAGTCGATTTTCGGTTAAGTAGCATCATAATTTGAAAAAGCAAAGACACTTTTAGTTTCATAAATTAGTAATTTTGGCTGTTATCCGTTTCAAAATTAAGATCATGAAAGACGCCGGTTGTGTGAGTAAAACGATTTTTTATTTCATGAGTTTTTCTGTTAAGGAACAACTTTCTGGGAAAATGAAGAAAACTTTTAGTTTCATAGTTGAGTATTTTTGGCTGCTATCGATTACACAACTAACATCTTAAAAGGCGCCGCTAATGTGAGTAAAATTATGTTTTCCATTCAGTCGATTTTCGGTTAAGTAGCAGCATTTGTTCAAAAATCAAAGACCTTTGGATTCATTATTAGATATTTTTTTCTGTTATCCGTTTCAAAATTTAGATCCTGAAGCGCGCCGGTTTCGTGAGTAAAACTATTTTTGCTTTCAGTCGCTTCTCTGTTAAGGAGCAACTTTCTGGGAAAATCAGAAAAACTTTTAGTTTCATTATCGAGTATTTTTTGGGTGTTATCGATTACACAACTAACATCATAAAAGGCGCCGCTAATGTGAGTAAAATTATTTTTTCCATTCAGTCGCTTTTCGGTTACGGGACAGCATCTGTTGAAAAAGCAAAGGCACTTTTAGATTCATTATTAGGTATTTTTGGCTGTTAACCATTTCAAAATTTAGATCATGAAAAGCGCGGATTGTGTGAGTAAAACGAATTTTTTTCAGTCGCTTTGCTGTTAAGGAGCCTCTTTCTGGGAAAATCAAAGTAATTTTTAGTTTCATTATCGAGTGTTTTTCGGCCCTTATCGACTACACAACTAGCATCCTAAAAGGCGCCGCTCATTTGAGTAAAACTATTATTTTATTCAGTCGATTTTCGGTTAAGAAGCTGCATTTTTTGAAAATGCAAAGACACTTTTAGTTTCATAAATTAGTAATTTTGGCTGTTATCCGTTTCAAAATTAAGATCATGAAAGACGCCGGTTGTGTGAGTAAAACGATTTTTTCTTTCATGAGTTTTTCTGTTAAGGAGCAACTTTCTGGGAAAATCAAGAAAACTTTGATGCGAGTAAAATAATATCTTTCTTCCAGTCGGTTTTCGACTAAGGAACAACATTTGTGGTAAAGTCAAAGAAAGTTTTAACAAAATTTTTTTGGCTGTGATCGAGTTTACAATTTAGATCCTGAAAGACGCCGATCATGCGAGTAAAAGATTTTTTGGCCGTTATCGATTTCACAATGTAAACGCCGAAAGACGTCGGTCGTGCCAGTTAAATGTTTTTTTTAGTCGCATTTTGGTTAAGGATCAACATTTGTTGAAAAATCAGACATTTCTAGTTTCATTTTCGGGTATTTTTTGGTCGTTATCGATTTCACAATTTAAATCCTGAAAGACGCCCGTCATGTCGTCGATAGTTCGCAAAGCCAAATTGATTAAGCATGCAAAGTGAATCAGATCGAAACAATGCTGAATCATATTAGCAGACATTTGCAGTTATTGCAGCTTTAAGCACGCACATTACATGGATATACAGGAATTCGATAAATAGGAGAAAATAGGAGAAATTAAACACTATTTTTACCATTTTATGGTCGCGATTTATACATGTCAATTCATTGATTAGTATGGTTGGCACGTGGCTCGAATATTATTAGTACCGGTCCCAAGAAATGCCAATCGTTTTTTTAGTTTGTTTTCACTTATGTCGAAATCATGACTGAGAGTTAAACAATTTTAGAAAATGTAGAGAAACTAGAAATTTGCATTGTTTTGATTTTACAATGTTTCTGTGAATTTACGTTTTTCTTTTCAAGTGGCAAACTACAGGAGAAGTGAACGTCAGTTATTCTAGAATCAGTAGAAATAAAAGTTTATCGAAAATTTAATAAATACATTTTAATGAAGAACGAGCACTCGTCTTAAAGACTGTTCAAATAACTTCAGTATTGAACGACCAGATTTTTGCTCTTCGTTACTTTCCTTGGTTAATTGTAACTCTTAGTGCCAATTGAAAAGAACTCTATTCCCGAGACCATCTTTTCATCTCGAAAAGTAATTTGCTGGTTTAACCGCAAGCAAAATTGTAAATTTGTTGCTATTTTAACGATCGGAAATACCCGATAACTTCTATAATTTGCGACGATAGAATTGCTTAAAACGTTTTCAATCGCTCCTCACATCTCAACTAAATGGCAATTTTTATATCAGTTGATTCAGTATGGCCGTTTTGGTTTGTCCATCATCAATAAAGGTTGCGAATTAAATTTTGATATAAACCGGTTTTTTGTCTTGCTAGGCTTGTCTGTGGTTCCTATTTATTATTTTAAAAATCCTTTTCCTCCCGACTGATTCTTGATAACCAGTTGTTTTCAACTGAACCTTTCACAAGACAGGATTAATGTCGATTTTGGATTTTAAAACTGAGAATCGGATGGAAGCACTTGATATGGTAATACATGAAGGCAAAATAACTCAAAACCTAATAACGGAAGAATACAGCAGAGAAGGACAAGAAAGCATCAAATGCAAAAATCAAAACTGAACATAGCCAAAATTGATTGGGACAGTAAATTCGAGTGAATTGCGAAACCACATCCGATTTTTTGTTGCGAATCGAAACGGATCTGGGTACCCATCCGTGCAGGCGGCACCGAACGAAACCGTACCGTCAGCTGGAGATCCCACCCAAAGGGGAACCAGCAGCGGCGCCGCAATATCAAAGTCACTCTTTGCCGGTATAAAACCATCTAGTGCAAGTGAATTCATATCAGTCAATCGCATTTTACCTGTCAAAAATGTTCTACAAGTACGCGCTTTTCGGGCTTTTATCAGTGGGCGCTTTGGCAAGGTCCGCCAGCCTGCCGGAACTGAACTCCATTGAGCATGGAGCACCGCGCGCCTCCGACTCTTACTCGTACCTAAACGACTTTAGGTACGTCTACAAAGTGTATCAAGACTGTGCCTCTCAAGACCTGCAGCCCTGCCTGAAGCTGAAGCTGTTGGCTGCCCTTGATCGAGCAGCTAGGAGCTACAGCTTGAACATTCTGGATGGAGTCACTTTCATCAAGGACCCTCAAGCCGCTGCTCAGGACGAGGCTCCGAAATCGGAAGCGGAAATTGAAGCTAGCCTGCCGAGATCGTTGAATGAAAAAGATGAAGCCCTAAGTGGACTCATTTTGAACAAGGTGGCTTCTTTCTTAGGCAGCCATACGCTACAGGTACGATTTCCGCAATATTGCATTTACCTTGTTATCAGCTTTGATATTTTTAAATCGCTTTTTTAAATCGCTTTACCAGGGCAGTTTTTTTAATTATCAACGTTTTTTTCAGGTTAAACTGCCATCTGCCACTGATATAGCTCGCAGCTTCAGCGAAGAAGAGAGCAGAGGCAAAAAGGGCAACAAGAAAGGAGGATCCATGATGCTATTGCCTCTGATTCTGGGAGGCACGTTGGTTCCCCTAGCTCTTGGTGCGCTGGCGCTTTTAGCAGGAAAGGCCCTGATCGTCTCCAAACTAGCCCTTGTCCTCGCTGGAATTATTGGCCTGAAAAAATTGCTTTCCGGACAATCCGGTCACCAGGAATCCGGACATGTTGAGGTTGTTGCCGGCGGCCACCACGGTTCCGGTTGGGGCAGGTCTTACGACAAAGAAGAAGCCGCCCGACTGGCCTACCAGGGCTATGAAGAGAAGAAGGAGCGATGATAATGCAACAGATTACCCAATGAAGACTTAATAGGCTATTTATTTAAATTATTTTAAAACTAAGTTATTTTAAGAGCCGTTTTGTAACATAAATAAAATTGAGTTTGTTAGAACAACCCGCTTCCGTTTGGTAATCCACCTGGAACGTTCTTCGTAATTTTTGAAGAGCGCATTATTACAGATTTGCTACACTTGGTCCGTTGCATCTTCACACTTTCAGTTTCGCTATTCACATGATCCAAAAATCGACAAAAAGCCGACGAGAAAGTTTAAGTCTCTAATTGAACTTGCACGGTTCGGTTACGTTGCCAAGGTTTTACTTTCTTCTCGTCTAGTATATTTCTTAGGTAATCAGTACTTTTTGTGTGTTTTGGAGATTTAAAGGTCATTAGCGTTGGTCGTGATAAAATGTAAACCAGTACGGGCAGCTATATCGTCCGTGACATTGATCATGTATGCAAGTCATGGTTAAGTGAAGAAACCATATGGTTAATATTAAATACGTAAATGTGCGGTTTTCGTACGTTGCAATGGCTTTCTTCCGATGCATCCTGGTTAACATTGCAATTGATCGTTTCGGATTAATTATTCGCATGTCCATCGATACTGCTAATCCTTGGCTACTTTAATTGATATCAATTAAAACGGATCATAATACGAAGCGATTTATTAGAAAATTAAATGAGCAATTAGATCACATATGTACCTGCTGTGAGATTGTGCTCGATTGAAGCCGTTTTACGAAAGCGTTTGGAACAGAGGTTTCTTAATGAAATTGATGCTTATATCTAAAAAAACTGCTAATTTCGAGTGTGTCTCGAAAAAAATTATATTAAGTTTCAAATTGCAGACATCGGTTTGACCAAGAAGTGTTTATTTGCAGTAACTGATGGGCGATTATCACAGTTATCACCCAGGTAAGTGTGTGTCTAAACATGCAATTTACAAAGTTTATGTTAAAATACTATAATCCATCCGGTCGAATGTCTTGGAGAAGAGAAGCATCAGCATTTGGTAATAGCAAATCTTTTGAGTCCACTGGAAGCTCAGGTTTTAAAATACTTAATTTTACTATATGAAAGAAGAAGTTTTAATTTTCCTTTAGGTATTGAAGAAAAATCTATCATTCTTACATAAACAAACATATGCTCTTTTTGTTACTTATTTTGCCTAAGGCTTACATTTTCTGCTTCCTTTTAAGAAAATTTGACTGGTATTATGGTTTCTAACCCAAGCAGAATGTTCCATTGTCTCCAGCTAAAATCGGTGCAAATCGCATCAAAAAAGATGTTGGAATTAAGTGATACGTAAGGTAACATAATAAAGCTGAAATCGATAGAAGGTTTGAGAACAAGTAGGTAGAAGGCAAAAGTTAATTAAATTATAGAAAACACGATTGCATCGTTAACTTCTTTCGCTTGATTAAACAATGGTTTTAATTGGAGAATCAGGAGCAAGAGGTGAGCTCTTATAGGGACATTTACAAAATCCATAAATAGTTTATTTTCTGCGAACTTCTTCGATAAATATATGACTGTCTAAATTATAATTTCCGCTTTAAAAATGCGCACAATATCAGCTTCGCCGGAAGCCAATTCTTCTTATTATTCCAATCGACCAATTGTTAAACATATTTGGATACTCGAAGAGAGTTAAGCTTCATTGAACCATTATCACCTTTCTGTATGCTAAGGGCATCTTTAAAGATAGAAGTAGATGAAGAAAATTCCGGAAAAGAGAGTACAGCCACAAATTAGATAAAAATGAATAAAAGACAACCTGGGATTGCAAGTCAACCAAGCAAAGGAGGAACAAACAATAAATTTGAAAATCTGGGCATTTTATAAAAGCAACTGTATTTTGACGGACAACTTAGTTCTGCAGCTACACAATACGAATCAATCTGGTTTCGTACTGTTTAGTCCATTAATGGGGTTCTATCAGCCAAAACTGCATGATTTTAAAATCAGTGCTTGCCTGCAGAAGTCTCCTTTAATTGTTTGTTTTCATATTGACTAAAACCAAATTTTGAAGTCCAACTCGGAGTCAAACTAGAAAAACTGCGTTGATAATTAAAATCAGGTCGTTGAAATTGCATCTTAACAAAATACAATAAATGCACGACAGTTTTTATGCAGCAATTTTCAATTTACATGTGGGATTTTTGCGGCAAAGCTACCTATATGTATGTGTTTATATGCGGGGAATATTATAAATATGGAAGAGTATGGTGCTGAGCCGAAGGCAATTCAATAAATATTGGCACAGAGAAAAAAACGTAACTGTAACTCGGTCAAACATGTGTGATACACTCATGTTGTTTTGCGTTTTGCGATTTTATCGTTCATTAGCAAACAATCCAATAAAGAAAGTTCTAAACGGTTAACTTCTTTGTTCTCCGTTTTTATGACAATCAAAAAAATTGGGCTAAGATTAGTCATAAGATTTCCTTTTTTGATGTTTGATTGTATGACTCCTCCGGAATGAATCTCGGCCAGTTTATGGGCTACGCCCACTGGAAATATACGGATAGTAAACATGCAGAAGTTTTCTCATATTCAAACATATTTGCGACAAAGAAACTTTCCTTTTGGTCTGACAAAGGATGCAGTGATATGGAACTTTGCCATTGCTCCAACGAAATGCAGCATTTTCGAATAGAAGCTTTGCTGTGGAAAATTGTAAATGCTTGGGTGCCAGAATTCTTCCAGGAAAAATTGCTAAATATTTGCAGTAACTTTTCTGACGACTAATTTCGGAAAGGAATTGAAGCATTCGCAGCAACGAACCTTTAGTATGAATGTCTGTAGAAGTTTGCTCAAATTGCTCATTCTCTTAAACAATGTCCAGCTGCTTCCATCTTTTTCGCCTTAGGTTAAACATGAAGTAAATTCTGCAGGAATGCTCTTGGCCGAAGAAGTCACCATTGTATGCGTTGTTCGCTTTTTACAGTCTAGATGTCGGTGAAACGGAAGGTTTGGGTACCGCTTTGTAAACTTTCAGAATGAAGCAAAATTACTCTTCTACGCAAAATAACTGGTAGTTTGCTCTCTATTATTAAAAATCAATTAATAGATTCAAAAAATAATAGGAAGAATATAAAAGTTTTATGGACGGTTTAGATTAGTTAATGTAACTATTTAAAGTAAGTCATTCATAATCATGTGAATTTTAAAAATCATTTAGAATTTATCCCTAAGCAAATCACGTATGAATAGCAAATAATATCAGATAATGAATTTGAACAGTCAATGATATCCAAGGAATGTAATTACTTTCATGGATGAGTAGACCTTTTGAACTGTTCCCTTAATAACAGTAGAAAAATGTATCCTTCTCTTAAGGTTTGAAATCATCGACTGGAAAAAACCTGTTAAAGTAGCAGCTTCTGAACTAGATTTTTGCCTGCCCACATAAATGAAAACTCTGAACGGAGTCAACGTTTTCATTTCAAGCCGCATATCTTCTATCTTAAAATGGTCTCTTAATACCAGGTACCGCTATTTCTTGACATGTTTCAGATCGTTGCTAATAGGTTTGTAGTTCTCGCCGTCTAAATAGTCTCCAGTTTGACTAGAAAATATTTTTTTGCATCGTCTGATATCGATACCCACATATCTGCCCTACCCAACGTGCCACTGAAAGAATATGAGAATTTTAAATGGATTCAATCGAGTAAAGCTATTTTTCCAATAAATTCACTCTACTGAATGCATTGAATATTTTTACATTTTACGTGAATGGATGAATAATAATTTTCAGTAAATGCAGAAGAATTATCAACGGCTTAATAAAAGCACAAGGTGTTTCAGTACCACCAGTTGCAGCTGAATAACACCAAATTATCCAGCCTCAGGCCAAAATTACCCGGAAAGTTAAATTATTTTCCAACCCATATTCGGGCATGTCAAGTTCATGTGAATGAACGTAAAATGCTCCAAAATTGGTCTGTATCAGTGAAGTTTCCACTAGTAGCTTTTAACCTAGTGTTACCATTCAATGATTCCTAAAAGGTCATACCAGTAACACACATTTTGCTGATATAAAGCTGCTGAACTAAAGGCATTTCTTCCTGATTGAACTGAAACGTGTGCTCAAGCTGGTGCCAGTGACTGACCGCGAATCTCGTGGTTATTTTCACCATGGGACGCAAGATTTGGGTTCTTGCTCTGGTGATTATTGCAGCTGGTGCAGACGCCCTTAAGGAGGACGACGAAGATACCAAAGAAGAAATGGAAATTTACAAAGTTGCCATTGATTTTGTGGATGAGTGTGGATCTAAAGAATTGTCTTTATGTGTCAAAGTAAGTAGCAGGGATTCATTAGGTATTAAAGTTTAGGCAGAAATGTTTCAGCCAGCAGGGTTTTGAAGATTATTGATTTGTTTGAAATAAATTCTCACCAATCCCACAATTTTAAATTTTAGTGCTCTTTTCTGCAGTTTTTCCTTTTAAAATTCTTTATTAGGCATTTAAGGTCACTAAATATAATATGTAATAAATTTCAYCATAGCAAATCTCKTCGACGTGTTTTGAATTCAGACGAAAACTTTTACTATCGCACAAAAGTTGCCAATGCGAACATATTCGTTCGGACTTTCATCTACTTTACGATTTTCCTGGAATATTGAAAGGATTGTCTGTTATCCAGGCTTCTGAAATAGCTACATATGCGAGTGCTCCAGAAATATGAGGCTTTACCTGGAAAGCTTCGAAGTATCTCTTGAATTTTCCTTCGATATGAAAATTTTATGTTTTTGTCACAAATTCTGGCTCTTCAATAATTGAACTAATAAATTCCTACAGCAATAATAACTGCGTTTCAAACTCCAATATTTTAAGGAAAGGGTTCTAAAGTACATAGACGCCCTTCCCAACGAGCTAGACATAGGTGGTGGTGTAAAAGTGAAGCCCAATGGAAGACTCTCCAGGAAAAATGAGCTGGAAGCTCTTCCAGAAGAACCGCGAGCTAGAGAAGACGCAGTCGAGTCCATCCTTTGGGATAGAGTGGCTGACTACCTGAGCTCACACACCATCGAAATCAAAGTGCCTCCTGACGCAATTCAGGAGCTTCAGCACTCTGTGGATGAAGGTACAAACATCCGAATTTTATCATCTAGGATTAAACAAGTTAATGTTCTGCAGGCAGAGGCAAGGGTGGAGGTGGAGGCGGCAAAAAAGGAGGAGGCGGCGGCGACAGAGTGAAAGGCCTAATGATGCTAATCCAACTAAAAGCAGCGATTCTGGGCGCATTAGCTCTGAAGTTTGTCGCTATTGTAGCTTTCAAAGCGCTCATAGTGGCCAAGGTGGCATTCACAATAGCATCAATCATAGCTCTAAAGAAGCTATTGGAACAAAAGCATCATACATCTACCTATGAGGTGTTGGCTCATCCTCATCATGAGGAATACGGACACTTCGATCGGTCGTTTACCCAAGAACAGCTGGCTTATAAAGGCTATGAAGGTGCAGCTAGGAGTAAGAATTAGCATCGGGAATTGGTCATATTGTAACAATGTGTGGTGTATTTATTAGCGGTTGTACGACTGAGGCTGCTCAATGAGACGAAAACAATTCAAGCAAACTATTCAAATTTTAAGTTAAGCAGTCAGATTGCCTGCTTTTTTTGTAGAACTTTGTTGAAATTATCACAAATTGGGTTCTCTGAAAGCGCCACTGCCAATAAAAAATTAATCGCACTTATCAAAATCTCAAGCGGAATTTCTTTCAGAGCATTAATTTTCATTCGTTTAGCCGTTTTATGTTGCTGAATGGTTACGGGTATATAAGATTATTAATATTTTTATTGATGAAGACGGATATCTTTTTCGAGTAGCTCTAGCCTTAGTGGAGGACTATAATTTTATCGAACTTAATTGCGAGTGGCGGATAATTAAGCAATAATTAATATTCAAGGTAGATTAACTAGGTGGTAGAACGAAATAAGTACTCCATTATATGTTACAGGTTTAATTGTATATTAATTTTACTGGTGTTGGCAACTAGAATTAGGTATACAGAGAACACGCTTGTTAAGCCAAAACATCTAGTAGCTAGGTAGCAGTATTTAAGGCACATTAAATGCAATTTAGAATTAAGCGAATTTAGGATATTAGACGTTTTACAGTAGGAATCCGGTTTCAGCAACACTTTCAGTCAAAGAACAGTATAGCGTCCTTATTAATTTCTCTATTTAAACCATTTCTTAGGCAGTGCGCTAATTTAATTGCTTCTTTTAGAACTTGAAAATTGAACCAGCTAAAGCCAGCTAATTGCCATCAAAGCGTGGCAATCTTTAAGTTAAGCGTTTAACGGTTTTCGTCTCCTTGAGGCCATTACATACTGTACCTGCGATTAGTTTATATCAAAATTATTGTCGCTTTGAAACTACTTATTTTCATTGGTAATATATTTTTTTAAATGGTATTTGCGAGTTGTTTCATTTGCATGTTTAGACACCATTGTGGCATTTTAGAAATTTATCTCGTGTCTTTAGCACATTATTTTCAATGCCGTTGTTTGGGATATATTGGTAAGAATGTTAAGAATTGAACGATTTATCATTGGCATGCAGAAGATGATTTCATTTTGGCACAGAACAGAAGCACCAAACACAGCAGCTCTGGGTGCAAGAGCTTTCAAATGAACCACTTCGGGGCTAGGGGTGTTAATAAAATAATAAATCATTGTTCAAATGGAGCTATTGAAACAAATGCATTTTGCAAAAGGCATTGGCATATTTTCGTCAAGTTGTTCTTATTAGGAGCTAAATGGAGGAAATGTAGATACCCTGCCTTACTCCGCTTTATTTCAACAAATATGCCATCTTCTTCTTTAAATGCCGCTATTTATTTAAAAGTAAATTCTCATTATACGTAAGAATCCCCGGAGGATATTCTGTTCGCTCTGCTTCCAATACAGAAATCGCAGATTCTCGAAAACCTATTCTTGTTGCATCTTTAAACTACTACCTATTTAGTTTCTAAAAGAGCAAAATTAAGTTTTCAATTTTCCAGTTCACCAACTTCACTAACAATAGCCACTTCCGACTATCCTAATCATACAATGCAAATCTTTCTGTAGGTCCCGTGAACCCGCGAACTGAATCGCCTTTAAGAGAAAGACTTCGTCCTGTAATTCGACAATGCAAACGCTTAATTAGTGCAGGCACTTTCACTAAAATTTCGGATTCACTGGAACATAACAATTGTCGCTTATATATTACAATGGAGGCGATTTTTCCCATCTTTTGTTGTAAGTTCACCACGGATTGCACAAGACTTCCAGACTTGATAAAAGACTTTGAACGCGGAAGAAATTAGTGTATGTAGCAGAGTGGAGTGTGCAGTTTAGTTATGTGAAAAGACCCATTGGGAACATAGTTTGAAAATGTACAAGTTTCCATTGATATTGTTATCGGTTGCTTTAAGCTCAGCGACACTGATGAAGGCTCCAGGCCTGGGAGAAACCTTTCGGCAGTGCTTAATTTCTTATCAAGCGCAAAATGGACTTGGACGGTGTTTTGGAGTGGGTGCTATAAGCCGTTTGCAGGCCCTAGATTCGAATCCAGAGTTTGATTTTGTGGATGGGCTGACGCTTTCCAGAGATATGGCGCTAGAGTTTAGGGATAATTCCTATAATTACGCTGAACAGGATCCCTCAGATTTCAGGCAAGTACTACCTTAAGGCCGGAGACAAAATTCGGCTATAATAATTAAAACAATACTCTAAAGCAATATTTAATTTATTGGTCGTTTGGTCTGTGTGCCATATCAGTTGGCTAATTAGTAGATTCCAGTCCCAGGGGTAAACCTCAAAAATTTAGTGGCCCAAAGTTTATTATCAGGGGTTTAATCTAGTATCGTAACCAGCCATAGAATTGCCAGGCGACGATGTAAGGAGGGCACAAAGGTCCGTAAAACCTTCGGGATATATTGGAATATTTTGGGTATAGGTTGACTTTGATATTTAAATGAAAATTGCTTTAAATTGCGCGGAATAATAATAATATGACCGAGTTTTCGAGTTCTCCAGGCAGAGCAGATTGATTGCCCGATGAACACCAAATTTACACGAAGCATTATTGCGCCCAAATATAATTAACTAGGAACTTCCATCAGCATGTTTTCAGAACACTTAAATCTAGTCTATTTACGTTTGTAAACGCTTTTGCCCCTGATTGTGAAAACTGTTTTAATCAATTAACTTCCGCTTGATTAAAACAAATGGAACCGTTTGTTATTTAATTCTAATCGTTAAAACAGTCGGAAATTGCAATTTCAGGAGCATTATCGATACCTTCGACCACGTGTTTTCCAAACGTGCCATGCGATGGGATTTGAACTTTATTTATCCAGGTCTGGAAATGAGAGTGATGCCTTCAACTGGTCCAAGCGGTGTTTTGGAATTCGTCATGGATCCAAATCACGAATCCGCTAAAGCTTACATTGGACAGGATATAGGAACTGGTAAGTTGTTTTTGATGCCTTTTTCATCATTAAAATTACGTGCTTTTTCAAACAATGGCATTCGCCAGAACCGCAATTTTGTATTATGAAGCAATCTTCACCATTGAATCCATCTTTTTTCAACAGTCAGCAATTTAAGCTTCTATTATTCAATGTGTTCTGCTGGAATTATTGACCTACAATCCTCATTCACCATTGCATTGCACAATTCGACCAGAATTGCCTATTTCACAAGAAGATGGCATCGGCAGACGAGTTTTCAACCGACCCAACTTTCACAAAAATCAATTTCTAGGTAAAATTCTGGCTCGCCAATTTCTGGTTCCACTACTCTTGGGATTGAAGTTCAATGTAGCCACCATCGTACCACTAATTTTTGGACTTGTGGTTTTAATGGCAAAAAAAATCGCTTTTATTAGTAAAGTAGCACTGATTGCGAGCACTGCCTTTGGGCTTGGATCCCTTCTTTTTAAAGCTGGATCTGCCGGTCCTTCTCCAGGATATTACTCGAATGACCACAGCTACTATGCTGGTCATCAGCCTGGAAGCTTTGGAGGAATTTATAAAGGGTACATTAAGCTACAACAGAAAAAAATTCGAAACGGTTCTTAAAACTTTAACCATAATCACTTTATAGACACAGCGAAGAATTTGTGCCGCAAGAACATTTACAGTATAGAGGCGTTCATGTTCCAATGGACGAATTGAAATTATATGGGAACTTACAAAGCCCATTTGGGGAAAAGTCCGGCGAAGAATCTCCGCAGAAGAAGGGCAGGAACTTCGCATGGAATGAAGATGATAAGCTAATGAAGAAAACCAGATAACCTTCTCTGGTACTGTGTAAATATTATTTATTTCTCCCGTATGACTTCATAGATTGTTCAGCACCATCTGCAACCGTACTGAAATCAGATCAAGTTAACTACGCTGTTAGAACAAATTGCAATTATTGGGAAATATCCAAGATGCAGGCAATTAAATCTGTAGTTAATATTTCAAGATCCATTATTATATCTTCTACATCTAGAATTAATATATTTCTTAAGAAGACCTGAATAGGAACTAACGCTTCATGTTCCGTTAGCCGACTATACACCACTAATTATTAATATTTGTAACATTAACATAGTTTTGTGCTATGGATAAGTCTGCTAGGTTTTTTAAAAATTTAACGAAACTGAATAGTTTAGGATCCATTTCACCAGCCCTGTTGACCTAGTATTCACATATGGTTAAATATTGATCTATGTTAATTGTTTGCAATTAGCGCATTATTTATTAACATTACTTTACTTTAACTGGGAAATTGTCGAATTTATTATTTTCACTCTATATTAACAGCCTGTTTTATTAAAGCATTTACAAGCATTTGTGTATTTTTGTTTTATATGCCACATGCATCGATTCTATAAGCCCGATGTAAAAAAAATATATTTCCACTGTCTTTGTCTGCTGGAGAATTCTAGCCGAGTTGCGGCCTACTTGTTGATTAGTACTAAATTCCTTTTAACTGTAATTATGAAATCACCACAAAATCACTATAATATTGCGCCTTTTAATGCCGCTCCTATCTGCTAAACTTCACCTTAATCAACACTGGAAGCGCAAAATAAACAGAGTGTAAAATTGCAGATTAACCTTTTCATGTGAATTTCTTATACGAGGACAATTTTAGAATTTTACTTGTGACTGAATTAGCTTTTGAGAACCAATTTTTGAAAATTTCTCACTTTTTCAAATGCATTGCTGCGCTTTCACTCCTTAATGGTTTCGCACATGATTATACTTAAAGGCCAAGAAAGACACAACGACTGAAACCCGAAATGCCATCAGAAGAATCCCAGATGATTAAAATCTTTACGTCTCAAATTACGTTTCAAAACATTGTGAAAATTTCGGACGAAATTTCCATTTATCCCTGGTAGTTTCCAGATGCAAACCCATGATTTTTCGTAAGAACAAGTTACAGCATCTTAACAGTTAAAATTTACGCATGGTAAATTCTTCGCAACATATAAAACTAATTTTTTTAAAAATCGCAGGTTTAGTAGACGTTTAGCCACTAAATCATATTTATTAACATGCAACGTGTTTTCGTGTTGGTGTTCGTCTCATTACTATTTAGTACAGTGACCGCCAGATCGGACACGATTGCTGAACTTTACAAAATCGTTGTTTCGATAAAACAGTGTCTCGTCCTCAAATATCCGGCGGTGTGCCTTAAAGAACGAGCTTTAAAAGCTCTAAACGACACAATTTTTGTCGATGAACCGATTTATCTCGGGTATATCAGGATAGAGAAAAATCGCGACTTTGACTGGAACAGCACGAAGAATGATGGACTTCCAAATGAAATCAGCAAAAGAAGCATTGTTTTAAATGATGCCCTTTATGATAAGATTCAGGAGTTTTTTAAATCGCGCACTATAAAGCTCAATGTTGATGAAGCAATAGAAGGTAAGTTCAAGGCGTCATTGGTTATTGGAAAGTTGGGAAAAATTAGCATATTGTTCAGTTGAAGAATTCAGCTATTTTTGCTCATTGACGAAATGAATGTTAGTAAGTAAGTTAAGTATTGCAGAGCAATCTATTTGATTTGTTCTTCATTTTGCATAAAAGTTAAACCAGTTTTACGGGTATTTAGCTGCATTGTTGCGATGAATTGATTTTATAATGATATGAAGAAAGTCGAATTAAACTAGAAAACCTGATAGAGAGAGTCATAGAACAGCTTTTAAACAGAGTTTATTAAATAATATCCACCGAATCTTTAGCTATGGAATATGGAAGATCCAAAAAAAGTCTAAGGGCCACATTTGTCGAGCTTCAAACGCACTCAATATTACTTAAATTAACTCTAAAAAGAATGATTACATTTTCAAAGTCTGCAGTTTGACAGCATATTTTTAAATAGTTACAGTTTGTTAAAGAAATGTTTCGGGCCTTGTTTAATCGTTGTGGCCGTTGTAGGGATTCTGTAAGAGATGAAATAAATTCTAGTGCATTTTTCGTAATTTTCCAATGAATTTCAACACATAATGAACTCAAATGCTATCAAGCTGCAATCAGATTTCCGATAGTAGCTAGCAATAGTGCTTCTGCTTTAATTTTGAATCGTAAAAGCGATAACTTACTCAAGAAAATCATAGCGCAATAATAATTCCTGCAGGTTTTAGAGTCATTTTAAAATCTCAAAGAACAAACGCTGATAAAAATAATACACTTTAGCATATAAATTAAGTCCGGGGGAATAAAGCCAAACAAACACAATGCCGTGCTTGTAACTACTATCAAGCAAAAATGTTCGGTTCTTGCTATTACATCATTGACTAGAACAGCCAAAGATTTAAATTTCATGTTATTTTGATATTATTACAGTAAAATGCAATTAACTTTATATATTTGCAACGGTTTGGCTTCAATTAAAAGAAGCCATCTAGCGCGTCTTTGCACCCAGTTAATCTCATTTTTTAAGTCACATCACGTGTCAAGGAGTCGCCTAACTGTTCCTTTTAGAGTCTTAATTGGTAATTATGCAAAAGTTTTCAAATTTTAAACGTTTACTCATGTACATGCTTTGGATTTGAAATTGCAGGCTTTCCTAGGCCTTAACATGAAACGCGCTCTAAATTTTGCGATAAATTGCATTGCTATTTATAGGGTCTATTATGTTGAGGAAATGTTTTAGGTAGGAAAAAGGGTGGTGGAGGTGGTGGAGGAGGAGGCGGCAAAGACAAAGGACAAGGAGCAATGATGATGGTGGGAGCAGCCGCTGCTTGCGTATATGCAGGGATGATGGCAGGAAAGGTAAGTTAGATTGTCACTAAATCGCATAAAAAACCTTTAATTTACTACTTCTTACAGATGGGAATGATGGCAATGGCTGCAATGATGATGTCAAAGATCTCTCTTCTTCTATCCGCGATTATGCTGCTGAAGAAATCAAAGGGCGGAGGCGGTGGAGACGACAGCAAAGAAAAACAAATAAAAATTGTCTATGCGACCACTGGTGGCGGCGGGGGCGGTGATTATGGAAAGGGCGGAGGTGGTGGTGGCTGGCATAGAAGTTTAAACCATGATCCTCATACTATTTCCTATAGAGCTCAGATTCCTCAAGATGCAAACCCTAATGTGGTTTACGAAGGTTATTAACTTTAGGTTTTATTTGGAAAAACCTTTTTGGTTTGACAGTGCGGATTTTGTAAATGTTTTGTAGAAGTTGCGGAACGCAAGGTCCCGAATTTAATATTAATATATTACTTGAAACTACAAATGTGGCGAATTATTGAATAAATTTGTCTAAGTTTACAGTTTGTTTTATATTTAGTGCTAAATCGAATTCTCTCTGTTTTGCAGGATCAGTAAAATGTGAGCAAACTGCAGTAAATTCCATTGAGCCGAATGTTGATGGTTCAAAATTGCGAACTCCTGGGGAATATTAAAGTAATCGCATTTTCTAAATTTTAAGAAAAAGTCAATAAATAACCTAGACAATGTTAATGTGCAATTTATATACAAAGCTCTGTAATATAAAACATCTAATGCATTCTTGGGTCATTTCGTAATGATATAGAACACAATATCGTTACAAGCAAACCAAATGCGATGGCTCATAAAGCTTAGCGAGATGAAAACATCGATTAGGAGAAAATGGGCGCAGAGAAATCATACAAAAAGCTAAATTTAAGCGCTGCATCAGTTGTACATCATCAACAGCAAAGCCGATAACTTGAGTTTGAAAAGACAGCTGAAAATATGTTATGAGGGTTTATGCGGAGGGAAATATTTCTCTAACTATTATTGGTTGATAAAATTAATTAAACCATCATAAAAATCAGCTTTTGTATGTCAATTTTCCTTTATTAGCTTCAAGACTTCCTTTGCTGCATGCAATGAAGTTGGGTTACTGGTGTGAATACAACAAATGTTTGAAAGAAATACGAACAACTATCATAAAAGTGTGTATGCATTTACTGGTGTAAGGGCAAACATATTTTTTATTTACGCAAGTGGCTGCGACCTTAACAAGTTATCATCAATTAAAAGTATGCTACTAAAACGACAAAACTAGGAGGAGGCAGGTAAAAGATGACAAAAGATGAAAATAAATGAAGCGTCAGTTAGGGAACTTATAATCACATAAGTTTCAAGTAAGTTTAAAGTAAAAAATAAAGTTGACGCTCAAGGAAACACCCACTTGCTCCCTTTTCAACACGTTAATTAATCATTATTAGGCGCACAAGTAAATGTAATCTCTTCCAATTTTATTATCGTAGGACTTTATTATCAAATGCCAAATATATCACGGAAAAACCAGTCAGTTACAAAGCGACCCATGTCTGACTATTCTTTATTTAATCCTTGACTTTTCTTAATAAATAATTGTGTATAATTTCCTGACTGTATTTCAACTTAATTCAAGAGAAATTCCTGGGTTCCAGTCAATTGTATTGACAATTTTTTTGGTAAACGATAAAATTGACTGGACCCCAGGATTTTATTTTGAATTAATAAATAATTACCGTTTTTCGGATTAATTAAAGCAAAATGCTGATGAATTTGGAGAAACTTCGGCAGCTTTAATAACCGCCATTCAACATAGGCGCGTATTTTGTCCCCGAAATAAGCGAGATAAATTCTTGGCTTCTAGCATTTTCAGCGGGTCAGCTTCGTTCTCACAGACGGAAAACTTTCACTTCCACATGGTACGATATCGACCCATTTTCCTATCTTGCATGTGGCCGTATCGACCTTTAAATATCAATCTCTTCATTTTGTTTTCTCTTGCCAGATTCGATTGCTTGCATTTGCTCACTCTTAGTGATTGATTCACAAAGTCTATCATTGAACTGGAATTTTTGGAAGTGTTTTATCTCCTTAATTTTTCCGATTACTCATTGGTTTGTATATAAAACCGGCAATGTTTAAAGTGTGGTCAAATTATTTTTTGCAAATAAAATATTTACACAATTGCGCACATACAAACTTCATAAAATGTGGATCACCTCATGGCTTTATCAACTGATAGCGATTCACAATTCAAATCATAGTTGCTCGAACATGGCTCGAAAAAATCAACTGTGGTCAATTTTTCTATTAATTTTCGCTCTAAATTGCGACGCAAAGATTTATTCAAAGTGTGAATTTGCCAAAGCTTTAGTTCGCCAAGGAATCACCAATCGCAATCAACTGGGAACATGGACCTGCATCGCCCACCATAAATCCAGATTTAACACCAAAGCACGATTACTGGCGACTATGGCATTCWGCTGTCTTCAGACACGAATATACCAGGTAAGTCAAGCTTGAAAGTCCGATTTAACTGATGTTCTCTTTTTTATGCAGGCAGAGGATGTGGAATAACATKACWWGTCCTTACTTGGGTCTGATATTACCAAAGATATTGTGTGTGCAAAAACTGTGTACGACAGAACTAAGAGTTACACAGTAAGTGGGTTTACAGCCTGGGTTTCTTACGGAAAGTACTGTCTGGGTGACCAATTGGACTTCTGGATGCTATTTGAATCATGATTTCCTGGTTTCCCAGGGTTAAATCCTGTTTTGATTTGCTATGGAAAAAAAGCTCGCAATTCAAATGCTCTTTTAACTCGTTTTTATTCTGTATTCACTTTATTTTTTAAATATTTGCTTTGGAATGTAGGTAAACTATTGTGTTTAAGCAAACTTTAAAAGTGAACTTAAAGATTTGAAAACGAGAATTATTTTTTAATTGCAAAAACGTCCTCGAATAAAGCTGTTGAAGAACGAGCCCAAGTCATAATATCACACACAAAAATACGTTAATATTAGTATAGACAAAATACTGTTTTGCAACAGCCGTAGAACAGAAACAAATTATTGCTTAGATTTTCATCGCTTTACTAGCTAGCTTTACTAGCTTTGAGTTTGAGCTACTCGTTACCCTTGGTTTGCCTAAGTACTAAATTGCATAATAAGCTCAATATGGCATTCAATCCAAGAAAATGTTTATTTAACACTATATAGAGTGATTAAAAAACGGCTGTTTAAAAAACGGCTGTTTAAAAAACGGCTTGTTAAAGCTCATTTAGGGAGTGTAGGAGAGTACACAAAGACCCGGGAAGAGTATGCAAATATTTCTGAAATTTATTAATGCTGTTAAAGCTTAATATTTCCGCTAACAGTATCTTAAAACTGTATTGCTTTTTTAGCAAACGTTTTTATGAATTTTAAATTGGTGAGCAAATGAATGATCAACGATAAACTTACACTTGGAAGACTTCCAGTGAATTAATCTGAGTTTAATGGAGCTGGAAAAATGCTTTTTAAAGGCTTCGTTTTGTCTAACAGAGTCCCCAAATCCGATGACATAATTTAAAAAGGACCGCAAAATATTAGTGTTAGAAAGTCACCAGTTGAAAAAATATCTCGCAGATCTATTGTCCGTTCCGTTATCAAACTTTAAACGCAAATAAAACGATAACACTTTTCATCACTCCCAATCCTCTTTATATAAGGGTTACAAAACATTTCCTTACAATGCAAATTCAGATAAAATTTTTAATGGGGAGGAAGACGAAATCTGAAGATCCTCTTCTGGATTTCGCCATTGTCCAAGTAGTTTCTTCTGTAATTGTCGTGATAATCGTCTTCATAGGTCGATGTGTGCACGTGCTCTTCTGTGTATTTGGGGGTTTTGATAATTTCAAAAGTGGTCTTTTCCTGATTTCCTGACACTAACTTTTTGAGGCCCAAAATAGCGGTTAGAACTAGAGCCATTTTTCCTATAATAATTGCTGTGCCCGACATAACTGCAATGCCTAAAAAATGCAATTGCATTTGAATTTTTCGAATATAACCATAAGTGAGGCAACAGCGATCAAACTACTGCCAAGATTATTTCCAGTATAGTAAGCAGTCTGATGGCATGCCATTAGTTTGTGGACACACACCATTTAGCATATTGCATTTTTACACGGAGTTACTATCGAGGGCACACACGCCAAATAGGTTTACAAATGCATAATTTTTAAGGCTTAATCACCTTGATAGGCCATAGCCAGGAAACTGCCTTTAATGGCTAATGCGGCTAGAAGTGCTCCATTGCCTCCTCCTTTGTCTTTACCATCACTTCCTCCGCCTTTTCCGCGGGCTTGACCAGACCAACTCCGTCCAGTTTGTTCGATTAATTTGGGGATATTCACTTCTATTTTGTGAGTATTGAAAAATCTATTAAAGCAATATTTAAACTTGTCTGGGTAGTTTTCCAACGCTCAGGAAACTCACCTAGATGTCCGGTCTCCTAATAGATCGTCCAGATCACTATGAGTCAACATTTCCAATTTCGTTTCATTCAAATTCGACTGACTGATGCTTTTCCCAAGCCGATTGTTACCAACAATTTTCACTCCATCCATCACATTCAGGGCCTTTAAATTCAACGCACGTTCGGTCACTTTTAGTGCTTGAATTTTCAAACATTTTCCGAATTGCTTTTTGTGCGAACACGAACTTAAAAACTTTTGCAGAATTTGGGACGCATTGTTCATTCCCGTTTCAGTACTGTGGCATTTGCACAAATCCGCACACATGCAAATTATAATTACGATCAATGGCAAACTGTTGTTCATGTTAACTTGTTGGATGACTTTGAGTAGAACTGATACGAAGAACGAAATTCTGCGAGTTTTATGAGGAAAATTTCGTGTTTTCATACACAGGCGTTTTAGACCGTAAATAATGGAAATTAAGACGAAACATGCGATTTTGTTGCCACAGTTTTCACTGTGAGATCTCAGTACAGAAACGGCTTTTGGCAGTTTCAAAGAAATTATTTTCATTTCTTAAAACGTGAGTTGATTTGCTTTTGCATTAAAATAGTATTTCCCCATCTGTAAGACGATTATGTATGAATAGTAATTGTTAGGAGTGTTTCACAGTGAGATCGAAATTACCCACAAAACTTGATCTAAGTCTAAAAATTATCGCAAGTATTTTTTCTTAAAACTTGGCTTGAATCAGAACTTTCGCTCCTTTTAAAAGGATTTTTGGCGTTTATAATCAATTTCAGCGAAATTTTCAACCGAAAAATTCGTGACTCCTTAAAAAGAAAGCGGTAAGTAAAATAAAAAGTGTTCAAAACATTTCATTTTCAAATACATTTTCTTGACTTTACTGAGATTCTAGCACCGATAGAAGCGCACTGGATATGAACTAGTCTCTGTTAAAGAAAATGTAAGTGCATTTTACTTATTTATTTTTTGGTAAAAAATAATAATTTTGTCCCAAATTAAAAATTATTTTGTTATCGACGTGTTTTATTTTCTGTATGTATGATTAAAAATTTCTTTTCATTTTGCTTGATCGGCAAAGGCTCGCTTTATAGAAAGTTTATTGCATCTAAGTGAAATTCATAACGTTTAAAATACAATTTAATAAATTAGACATTGAAACTCTTTTAAAGGCAATAAACTTTTTGTATTCTATGCATTGTAACTTTCATATCTGTATAATTATTCGTCAATTAATTAATGCGAGGATAATTTTTAAATCTGTTCTATTTTGTTCATCAACTTCTTCCTTCTCTGTTGTTGGATGAGTTAAATTTTAATGGATATTTTCTGGTTCAAACTTCTAGATATTTAAGCAAATGTTTCATTATTTAAAATTAAATACAACTCCTGCTTTTTCGTAACTGGCTACACGAGAATTGATTTCAAGTATATGGTCAGCAAAACAAATTATTAATTATTATTGAGTCTCAAGTTCAAGGCTCAATATGTTATAATCAAAAAACCTATTTATTTTTAAATAAACTGTTTGTTTTCTTTAATATGCAATGTGTTTAAAACGTAAAGTTATTTTCTTTTATTTGCGTTACTCCGATGTGTAAAACACGAAATTTATATTTACTTAATATTAAAGTTCGCGCGTCTTCTTTTTGGGGCAATTTTCACAATTGAATTTCACCTCGAACCATGCGGAGCCCTGGCAGTTTCGGACCAATTTAAGAATATTAAGCGGAGTACCACATTCTGCAAAAAATTAATCCGCAACCAGTAATAATCCAATTAAACCATATGCCTTTAAAAGCCGACACAGATGCAGTGTTTTGACATCCCATACTTTTTTAAAGTAGACCGTGCAAGAATAAAGCAGCACTTTTCTAGGTCATCGAAGGCACATTTAATTTCCATTACAGAAGAATATAATTTCCGGCAGTGTTTTTCTTTTACGACAAACTCTCGCTCTTAGTCGACCGGTATTGTTGCTGTAAAATTGCTAATTTACCCGAACTAGAAATTGGAATGTGTGAAGCAGCATTGGTGGGAAATTTCCCATCCAACATCCAAACCCGCAATAGCCACCGATCAAAGCCAAGTTTGATGGTTTGTTAGCACTCATGGTTTATTTTAGACGGCAGTATTTTTAAGATGGTTTTCTAGCATATTTGCCGATAATTTTTTAATTACTCCATCGCTTAACACCTAGGATTAGTAGTATCAAGTGGATTTCATTAGCGACTGAAGATTTCAACAAAATAGCTCTTACTTTCTTCCATCCACAATTGCTAAATACACTAATCGAAAAGTAGCCTTTCAAAATACAACAATGAGGTGAAAGTGAATAGCAGAAAGTGCCAAGTTTTCCTCAACCAAAGCATAAGCAAGTGCCCGAACGAAGATCCAGTTAACACATCTTAATAATAAAGGCAAATAGGGAACTTTCATGACCATCTAGTTTGCAGTGATTTTTTAAATCCCAGTTAGGCAACGTTTAGTCATTGATAAGAGGATGTGCTAATATCTTCTTGTATTTTTTTTTATTATATTTCTCTTGAGACTATGGAAGGCCATAAGTGAACGCATTATCAACACGATTCAAAAAAGAGGAAAAAAAGTTGGAGGAAGAACTAAGAAACATTATTGACCAGACCCATAATTGTAAGCGAGGCAACTAGAAGGAAACTACAGAAATGGACTATTGGTATAGAAAAATATGTTATGGAAGATGTCGAAAGGAAATAGTCAGTATGGTTTGTAAATGGAAAAAGAATTAGACAAAACAGATAGCCAAGAGAAAAAATAGAGGAAAAGACCAAGAAGAAGCTGGAGGAATGACTCGGATGATGCCGTGAAATCAAAGAACTTAAACGAGGAAATGAGTCACGAAAGAAACAATATGGAATCTGGAGACGGAGAGACGACTACCATATACATATAATTACTATATTTTAAATAATATTCAAATGCCATAATTTGGGCTTTTTATGCAATTTATGGCGAGCCCAGTTGAAAGTGCGATATGACCATAATCATTGATGTATGAGAAAGTGAAAAGTGTAAAATACATCAGCAATCTTTCAAAGCATGTTAAGAAGATTCGCAAATATATACCAGTGCAATTAAATGTGTGCCACACATAAAGACAATTCAATTAAAACATACGAACATTCCAGGAAAATTGAGTCACGATTTATCGTGAAAATCTAAATAATGCCACGGTACATCCTTTCGGCCAACTGTCGTGACTTGAGGCCACGGTTGGTGAAAACATTTTATTTAATCTTCAAGGTGTGGTTATATCAAGTTGAAGTTCAAGAAAACGATTATTGCCTTGTTCCTCCCATTGTCATCATGTGTGGCAATAAACCAAATTTGCATTTGCGGCTTGTCTTTATCTTCATTTTTACTGCTACATTCCAGCGCACATTAATTTTCAGTAGTGCGCTTCGCATGATTATATGGACTTCGCAAGTCATATTCAATTACTTAACATAAATTACAAGCAGTCGGGGAATCATACCCAAAGGTACGCACAACTTTCACTGAAAACTAGGTTCAGACACCGTATTCTTGAAGAACCTTCCTTCTTCAGCGGCCGGATGTAACAACCTGTATTACGAAAAGACGAGTGGAATGCAATGTCAAGTTTAAGGCAGAGTTGGGTCAATGGGTTGGGGCCAGGGAATACTAGTTTAATTGGTTTCTTATGCAAACTAAAATGATTCGAGTTTATACAATTTGCTGATGAATCAGAATAAACTGGAATATTTTCAAGTGCTTCTTGGTTTTCGTGCGCTCGCCAGAAAGTTTAACCATTTTTTTGGTGTTTTCACGCAAGCCATTGCGTGACTGAAAACTCATCAAGTATGCACGATCAAATTGGTTCCCAGCTGTCTAGAAACTCTCTTAACTGAAAAGATGCACGTTTACCAAACTTATAACGATGTTAATTAATTGAGAACTCGCATAAAAAAGAAAGTTGTTTAAGCATCTGACTTTGCTTGTATATTTAACCTAATGATATGCTGGGAGAGCGAGATTTAGGAAGCTGACGAAAATTCTTCTTTGGTATTTTATGAATGAAGCTGATGACACTGAAAATATAATTTTTATTGCGAATGAGCTGCAAAGTAAACCAATGGTTTGTAGAGTGGAAATTAACAATGTTTGCCACTTGCTTTATTGCACAGAAAGTAATAAATAAATATATTTACTTATACCTGCAACTAACTAGATACGTACGCATTTGTTCCGGACATTGTGCTAACTTTCTATATAAATATTTACAAAAATTATATTTACTCACTTACAAATTAATGTGAAGCATAAACAAAAAAATTATGTAAATTGTTCAAAAATGGGCCTTTTGTATACTGAACTCTTCCAGGCATTTAAAATGTACATATAACATTTGAACTTTTCTCACCATATTTATTTGAAATCAACGGTTTGCTAATTGAAGATTGCTTTGAGCACTAATAGCGGCAAGGAAAACTGCCCCTACTCACTAAGAAACCAGCGCGAAAGCACTTACTTATTCACAAAAGATAATTTAACTCCAATAAGTCATGTGTCCATCGGCTTCTTTTTGAACTCGATATTCAGTCATCAATTTAAGCGTAGAAACCAATATGAGTGTGGCCTAGAGATCGGAGATTTTGCTCATCATATTGACCTGCTTCTAAGGAATTCGATTTCTTCTGGCTATGTAAATTTCAATCTGCCTCTGTTAGCAGCAGCAACCCCATCATCTTGGCTGCCATCGGAAGAAACACCGTTAACCGTTACATAGAATACATTTGATTGTGAATTTTTGGTGCATTATTGACGCCATTTTCACTGTAATCTACAATTATAATTTGCTATTGAAACAAGGAATTGTAAATTATGGCTGTCAAATTATCATTTATAATAAAGTGGTCTTCTTTTGATATGCTAATGCTCAATGCCGTGTAATATTCTGGGCGTCGCTACAAATTAATCATGTATTGTAACTGCGCCCACCATAAAATTCAATTATAATGTCGATGATGCTTACTAGTAAGCTTATATAGATGTTATATTGTTTTTTTCCTATATGAGGTGTGCCCATTTCACTTTAACGTTTGCAACCGTAAGCATTTCTGTTAATGATGACTTTTTGCGCTTCCACTTAAAGTGTTTTTGAATGAGTAAAACATCCTTAAAGCTAAACGTACTGTTTTAACATCAATTTGTAGGTTTTCGTTTTTCATGTATCAAGGCTTCGTCACCTGAGTTTTAATTTAAAATTTGATAAATCAAAGGAACAAGTGTGAGAATGTAACTAATGTCACTAATGAATATAAATGTATTCACTAAGGCTGCTGAAGGTTCTAACAAGAATTGTTGTTTAACTACATAAGTGCCTCCTGCGAAGAAAATAGACACGAATCAAAATATCAAACCAAAAAAAGTGTTAAAAAGTAGAAAGCGTGGGTCTGGGCAAAACATGGGAATTTCTAAAATGTGGTCAGTGTACTGTATCAAACCAACATCTTAACAATTATAACATAAAGATTCTAAAAAATGTTGCTTTCGAGGATTTAATAAAGGCGTTTCACTTAAATATATCGGAACATTCTACACAAGGTGTCGTTTCAACAAATCTTCCAACAAAATGAACGAGAATGCACAAGAAAGAAGGTCGAAAAATTCCCATTGAATTTTCATCAATATTTTCTGCAAGACAAAAAAACCTACCAGAAAACGTTTGGACTCAAATTAGGCGCTTAACTAAATTTAAAAAGGTGACTTTTAAGCCTAAGGCATCAGTAATTTTAATCAGGAAATGTAAATTTAATGCAACAATTGATAAGCTATTTACTAGATTTATAGGAAAAAGTTTACAAAAGATGTGGGTTGAAAATAGAACCAGAAAATATATTCGAACGTGATGGTTTTAAGTCCAAATTGGTTTTAAATGAATTTGACCAAATTTAATAAATAAATTAAATGCTAGCGACGCCATTGTAAGTTCCAGGAAAGAACAAAACTTAAGAAAACTTGAAAATATGGGCATTTTCATTAAAGAATTTGCTGAATATTTTTTGCCGCTGTGGCTGTTTTTCATAAATTTGAAAAGAAAGAAAAAGTTGACCTCAAGCCAAAAGGAGAACTAAAGGATTAAAGTGTTGCATCAACCCATAATTCTTAAACTAAATATGCGTATGTTTAAGAAGGACCTGACTAAAATTTGATAGCGACAGTTTAGCAAATAAATTATTAGAAGAAATTTGCCTCGAAATGCACTCGACACAAGCACAGTTTCGTGCAGATATACAAATTATAGACTAGTGCCCGGCCAATATGCAAAGAATAATTACTATCTTTGAAGAGCCAAATTGGACCAGTCGGTCCAATTTTAATGCAGCTCATATGAGGAAGAAAAGATGGAAATGCAAAAAAAATAAGATTTTTTCTTAAGTTATAACGTTGCGATACAATGGAGTAACGAAATGCAACAAAACGTGAGCTTTAAAAAAATAAACCACATTTTTAAAAATATATTTAAATTAAGAAAGCGAGTGTCTTGCAAAAATGGGTAAAATCTGAGCCAGAAACAGTTCAATAAAAAAACGTACAACCGACTTAACTTTTACAAGAAGACAATTTGAGCCATTGACCAACAACAGACGTTCTCCATTAAGTGGTAATGTTTAAAACTCTTCATTGACCTGCCGCTTGACACCGTCAGTTCATTACTGACCGTTTTCATAATTTGGTACATTCACCAAAGAACTGACTAGCAGGATATTGCATCTCAGCCAATACCAGGTATTTAGCAGATTGGAGAGAAAATAAAGACCCACCCATTTTTCACCAAACTCAACCCACACCGTGAACTAAAGGATGTTGAACGAAAGTTTAAATATTTGAGTAGAAGCTTAACGGAAAAGAAATCGAAATTTATAATTTTATGACATCTTCTTCACACAGTTCTCATAGGCTTGTTCTGCCAGTGGCGTAACTCGAAAAGGGCCTGAAATTCATTGGATATCATTCTGAGAACAAAGCATTTTTAACTTTTTGCTTGATTCTTCCCAAATAAAAGTGTTGATCCTTAAATTTCTATCGCTCAAGTGAACTAGGCAAATATTTGTGTTGCTTTCACACATTTTCAGATTTTCACGCAAAGAAAAACTATTGCTTTTAACCGATTACCATAAACTCTAATGCAAGATGTTTGCAATTTACCTACATTAACCGGTTCAATTAATCCTCTGCCGGTTATCTCATACATGCATTTTATTCTGCTCATGCTAGCAATGGGAGCCCAGAGGTCATGTATGTTTGCTTGTGACATGAATATCTAAGATACAGACACAGATTTCCTATAAAATCGAAAATATACGTTAGAGCTGGAACTTTGAACGATGCCTGCAGGCTGCAATCTCATTTCCTAATGCATCCTCAGGTCAAACTGAAGTGCAGATAGAAGACAATAGACGATGAACGAAACTGAAAGCTACAAATTTCTGCAAGCACTCATTTGTTGAAGATTACGTGGAGCTTTGACAACCGTTCTGATTATAAATGGATTATTAGAAGTTTGTTTCGTTTATTTGAACTCCTTTGGACTCAAAAATGTATGAAAACCACTTGGTTTATATTTATTCTTCTTAAGTTTGTATATAAAACTTTTATAGAACTGAGCATTTCTAGGCGGTTAGATTCGTTTGAACATGTATTGCATATTGAAGTTATTCAAATGGAGCTTGGATTGTTATTTAACGTTAGGCCGTCCTCTGTAATAGCAACCAAATATATTTAAAGACAATAAAATGGTATGTTTGCACCGTGATATAATGCGGTTTGCATTGGCCGAACGATATGTGGACGTGCGTCGGTTACGCCTCTGACCAAAAATCTGTTCTTTCTTCGTACGATGGGCCATCTTCATAATGACTAGTTCAAACACAAGACTTTTCGCTTTTTTCTATGTCAAGGTTAAATTTTAATGACCCCTTAATCTAACAGGTTTATGTTCCTTCCAAGTCAGAAGGCTCACGGCTTTGAGCAATATTTATTTGGTATGGTCATTTTAATTTATATTCAAGAATAAACTATAAAAAGAACGCTGGTCCAGAAAAGACATCAGTGTGGCTCGGTGTGGTGTAGTGTCTAAACATGAAGCAGTACATCGTGGCAGTGTTTGCTTTATGCACAATTTGTGCATATGCACAGGACAGTAATTCGTATTATGGAAGTGTTCGTGAAGTATTTAGTATCTATCAGGAATGTTCGCATTCTGAAGGATTATCGCCATGTCTGAAGATGAAGGCCCTTTCCCTTATCGACAGGGTGAGTCGAATGGAAAATATTGCCCTTATGGATGGTGTGGTGATTAAAGGAAAAACCGACGAAAAACCAAATGCACCCACTTTGGAGGAGGAAGAAAAAAGTCTGCCCAGAAGTCTAGATGAAAAAAGCTCAGCCCTTACTAGCATGATTTTCAACAGAATCGCTCGAATAATTGGTTCGAAATCTATTGAAGTTTCCATCCCTAAACTCATAGAGTCAGGTCAGTTGCTCGCAATTTTTTAGCAATTTTTTGAAGAATTAAATTTATTTCAAAATGTTTAACTGTTTAACTTGATGCTTTCAGCCAGAGGAAAGGGAGATGATTCCAAATTTGGAGACATTGGTGATCTGTTTGGAGGCGGTGGCGGCGGTGACAAAGGACATGGAGGCGGCGGCGGTGGCGGCGGCAAAATGAAGTCCAAGAAGAAGAAGGGAGGCGACGGTAAAAAAAACCTTTGAACAATGTTAATCAATTCTAACCTTTGAATAATTGCAGACCTTAAGGACTTCATGATGATGCTTTTCGCCCACAAACTAGCCATGTTGCCCCTACTAGTGGGCGGTTTGTTTATTTTGGCTGTTAAGGCTCTAACGCAAGCTAAAATTGCCCTTCTCATTGCCGGAATTATTTTCGCGAAGAAAATGTTGGCCAATAGGAACCAGGGCGCCGAACATGTTGAACATGTACAAGCATCTGGCTGGAATGGAGGCGGCCATGGGGCCGCTGCAGGATGGAGCGGAGCAGCAGGTAACTTTTTGCAAAGTTATTTTTAAGTAGATACATCTAAAACTTTTCTGAATTTTGCTCGAAAATTCCCATCGAAGATTGCAGTTTAATTAATAACGCTCAAGCAACTGGTTTCATTGATTCGCATTTGCTAGTAAAGTTTTTTTTTACCAACTTAATAGTCGGTCAATTCGAGCATAACATAATTACGGCTCAGTTAGCTTCAATTTCAGATTATACAATTATGTTCATAATGCATTCTCGGACGCCTTTGGCGATAGATCAATTTTTGTGGAATCCTGCCGAGTTTCATTCGATTAGCTTGTCTGGGGTTTTTTGCAACTCTTACTTTCTTAAGGTGTTTACTTATGAAATAGTAAAGATAGAAGATCCAATAGTAAAAGTGTGAAATTTTTTTAAGCAGAAGTTAGTCATTGTTTTTCTAACACGTAGCCAATCAAATGTTACAGTTCATACAATATATTTATTTAACGGGAATTAGTGAGAGATTCGAAGCTAAATATTGAACGGGATTAACTGTATTTGTTGCAAGAGATTTTACTCTTAAAAAAACAGTAAGTAAGTTGTCAATTACAAAACCCATTGAAGTGAGTTCCTGACCTCGAACTAAATTATTAAAGATAAAACAATTAGACCTTTTATAAATTGAAAACCAAATTATAAATTGCTATAAAAGTAAGGCAGAGTCTAAGTTTTGACGAGAAACAAAAGATTTTCGATCACCAAAGGCCCTTTTATGCCTTATTTTTACATTAATTATATCAATAGCAATTATTGTTTTAGTTAGTATTTAATACATCCACGTAACGCAGAGAATTACTAATTAATCTATACAGAATTAATTTTCTTTCCTATTCAGGTTTTGCATTTTTATGTATTTCTTAAGTATTTGTCTCTGATATTCGCTAGTCTATATCGTATTTTTATGTACATAATTCAGCAAGACAGACATTTTAAAAAAATTCTGTTTTTGAAAAACATTTGTCAACCAAGCACTTTTTTAATATTATTTATGGCAAATGAGTGTAATATTTCACGAAAATATTTACAAAGTTAACAATCATTTCCGAAATGTTTTATAACCTTTTAGTGGTTTGCAGAAGTAAAATAATTTAAAACAAAAAACATATTAAATAGTACATTAAAAACCACAAAACTACTTTTTCAATATACAAGAAGTCTATTTAACTAAGCTGATTTAAAGTTGGGTCTTCAATAAATATTTTCCTCTCGTTTCTCAAGTCTTTTGAACAAAAATATACAGCGGACTAAAATTGAGTTTTCTTAATAAAAGCAACTTTAGTAAGATTGTGATGGAAGATTCAACAAGATTGAAGTTCGAGATTTTAAAATTACAAAATGTTAAAAAGCCGCCTAATATTTTTTAAAATTCTTAAAACTGCTTGAGAAAATATCTACTTGAGAATAAACTCAGTGAACAGCCAAATGTCCAAATTACAATTAAATAATTGTCAAAAATGCTGAAAAATTAGCAAAAATTGAGTGAGTACCAAAAAAATAATGAGAAGATTCATTTGGTAATTGAAGAAACTATTTTCCATCTTCGAGCTAAAAAAGGTTTCAAAATTAAGCAACCCAATTTAGGACATAAATGGAAATGTAATATTTGAGAATTCTCCTAGTGGAATGAATACATGAATAATATAACAGTCCCGCAGGAAAAAAATAAAAAAATGTTGAATAATGGCAAAACTTTTACACGTTTTAAAACCTGTTTTTTAGAACTTTCGCAAATAATTTAAAACTTGCCTAGTTGACTTTGTAATAAACAACTCAATTTCTTTAGGTGGTGGCGGCTGGGACGGAGGTTGGGATAAACGGTCCCTCGAAGAAGCTCAAAACTTAGCCTACCAGGGGCAAAAGCCCTAAATCCCGGCCATTGTTTCCATAGAGAAGCTAGAACGGCCAAAATGTTATTCTTTGTGTACCTCATTTATTTAATCATCTAGTCGTCCCTATCTTATCCTTTCGCGCTTTATGGCATGGACACTACACCATGTCAGCTCTTCTGTTTAGTTGCCCTGTATGTTGCACGAAAGCCATCATCTCCTTTCTCGTGTACCTAATTTCTTCAAATATTTCCACTTAATTGCCATAAAACCATTCAAAATCGCCGTGCCTAATCTTCTCTATCAAGCGAACATTCTCGTAATGTGCGCCTATTTGACCGATTTTTTGGTCATAAGATAGCATGACTGTAAATTGTTTTATTTATTTTAGTGCACAATTACTGGCTTGGACAGTAACTGTTGTTATAGTTAATTTATTTTTGATGTGTTACTTTCTTGAAAGCAATAAATTATTTATTTGATATTACATTTTGTGAAGTATTATTTTCGCCTTTTATAGAACAAAGGCAGCTAATGAATGTTAAACGGGAAGCATCGAATCAGGCAACCGAATAACAGTCGAACCGCATAACCAGTAAATCCGATTCAATTCAATCCGATTGATTTGATTAAGCACGCTCCGATTGAGCTCGCTAAACGATCTTTTCATTTTCGGAGCAACTTTTTTCCGCGAATTAAATTCACTATCTCCCAAGTAAAATTCGTCGTCGGCAAGGTGCAAAGCAGGGGCAACTCTCTCCGGAATCCAATCAGGTGAAGAGAAGCGCTTTTCTGGGTCACGAGCAACCAATGGCCTTCGCTTTAGGGCAGAAGAAATAAGAAAATCTGCCATTGAATCCGAGCTGCAGAACACCGTACTGTCCCCTCTTTGTCTCGTTTTTATCAGGTCATACTGCCGAGAAAAGGTCAATCTCAGTGTCAAAGAAGATACTATAAAGGCACCTGCAAAATCACTGGATGCATCAGTTGAAATTACATCCTTCCGGTGATCAGTGCGTGAATGATGAGGTCTTGTATATTTTTATTGGCGATTTGCTGCTTTAGTGTTATAGCCCAGGAGAGTTTCGAAAGCGCAAGTGTTCGGCTCATTTTGAAAATTTACGATGAATGTGCCAATGCTGATGGGTTTTCGCCCTGTCTCAAGAAAAAGGCCGTAACTTTTTTGGATCGAGTGGCTCGAATGGATAAACTGCCCCTGATGGAGGGCGTCACGTTGGTGAAGGCTGCCGATGTAAGCCCAACCATCGATGTTCCCGTCATGGAAAACGAAATTGAGCAAAACCTCCCCAGGTCTCTGGCAGGACAAGACGAAGCCCTGAACAACATGCTATCAGAGAAAATCAACAACTTGCTGGGATCAAGAACCATCGAAATTTCCATGCCAAAAGTGTCGGAAATGATCGAGGAAGGTACTTTGCAGCAAACTCCTTCAAAAACTTTTATCATAAATATTTTTTTCGGCTGTTTCAGGAAGAGGAAAGGGTGGCGGAAACAGCGGCGGTGGCGGCGGTGGTCACGGAGGCGGCGGTGGAAAAATGAAAAACATGATGGGCGGGATGATGATGGCGATTGCTGCCAAAATGGCAGCCCTCATTCCCTTGGCCATTGCCGGCTTGTTCCTGCTGGCAGGAAAAGCTCTGATTACAGCTAAGATTGCTTTGCTCATTTCGGGAATAATCGCTCTGAAGAAGCTCTTTGCCGCCAAGCAAAACGGAGGCGGTGGCGGCGCTCATACTGTACATGCTGGTTGGTCAAGTGGCGGTGGAGGCGGCGGATGGCAACCGTCTGGGGGCGGCTGGGACAAGCGGTCTATTGAAGAAGCCCAACAGTTAGCGTACAAAGCCTATGAAAAGCCATAAGAATTTTTCTAAAACAGTCTAAAAAAGAAGTATTTATTCTCTGTTTAAAGCGAAGACACTGTTCTTCGGGTAATTTATAATATTTATTGCGTTTTACAACTATAATAGTGCGTATCGTATCTACCCACATGGTTAATTCTAGTCAAACATTTCCAGCCGCTTTAATAAGTTTCAAAGTGGAATGTTGTAAGATTTTCAAATCATCTGTTGCATCAAACAACGACGGTTCTAATGAATTTTGCAGGATGCAGCAAATCACCCCATTAAAATTGCATAGGATCTCATCAATCATCTGTTTCACACATTTCCAATTAATTATTATTTTGTCACTTTTCCATTGAATAAAAATATTTGTTGTTCTTCAGCGGTTTTATTTCTTCAACTATGTTGCTGCATGGAACAGTTGCTGTTGCACTGTTTTCTCAGGCAAAAAAACCTGCTCTTAATGGATAAAAGAAAGTACTGCCATTAAAGGCAAAGGAGGTAAAGACTGAAGAAAATTCGAACAAGCGAACGCAATTAACATAATTGTTAGCGTGCGATCTGCTTGATAGGCAATCTCAATTATTGCCTTTTTCTTCGAACGAGGACAATATGCGTTTCTGTGGCCGCATTTTTGATCAATGAGAACAGATATTGAGTGAGAACAGGTGTATGGTGCAATAGGAAGGAACACTATGAATTCTTTCAACGGTTGGAGATGCAAAATATGGATTGTGTTCAAAAATCGCAACTGAAAAATACTTTATGATAACAGCGTTACTTAACTGCGGCTTCTTGCTGACTCTGTATACTTTTCTGATCTAACATGTACATACTTTTACTTTTTAAAAATTCAGTTGTTTCATAGAAGATTTTCTGGAAGAGATAAGGAAAATACATGGAAACTAAAAGGAAAAATGTTTAGACTTACGTGCAAGAAGAAGCGGGAAGCTGTATATGTTCTAAGATTATTATCAGAGCAGCATTTTCCCAATTTTTTCCGATTTGAATAATGGATTGGATGTAATAGACGGAAAACGTGATTCAAGTTGCACAAGATTGTGTAATCGATTATTTTTGTTTAAATTAATTATCCGAGATACATTTCCGGCAACTGAATCGAAATTATTTAATATTAATCGCATCTGATTTTTAACTTAATTATGTTGAAGAGTAATGCAGAAAATCATGTTTTTAGGGATTATTTCCAGTTTGCTCAGCCAATAAATTCACCAACCTTAGAAACCATTATTTTGCAAAAATTTCTGAAACTATGACTCTCACCAAAAGGTTGTTGTAACTATTATTTTATCATAAATGTGTAAATAAATCTAATATTCCATCCTGTGTCGATCGCCTATAGACAAAGGTTTATACCGAAAGTGCGATGTTTCTAATTGCAAAATTTGCTTCGCTGCTCCTTCTAAACAGTTTTCTAGTTATCAAACGAGCGATGTACTTGCTGCCCTTGCTTAAATAGCCCGACATTTTTGGGGACTTTAGGTCATCGCAAAAAAATGCCGACGATCGCAAGTACAGGTGCTTGAAAAGTATTTTTTACCATGAGCTAAAAGCCCGAAAAATAACTATTTTAAGTGATAATTTTAGCGACAGAGTTAATAATTTGATATAAAAAAAATTCGCTTTGATAATGTGATGCAGCTGCTTTGGTTTACATTACTTTTTGGAATATAAGATGGTTTTTATGCAGCTTCGATTTTCCATTCTACCTTGTTCAAGGGAAAAAATAATGTGTAGTTCAATCCCACTTTTCTGTTGCGCTAAAGCCATTGTTTGACCATTTTAGTCACTAACTATTTAAAAATCAACTTTAATTAATGCCATTTCACAATTAATCTAATTGCTTGAATCAGGTTTTGCTACTTAATTTGTAAAAGTTTCGGATTTAAAACGGAACTTGGAGTTAAGCAAGAATAAAAGCCTGGAAAAATTAAATTCTGTTGGATGTTAATGGACTTTTTAGGCTATGCACACTTAAATGTTTCCTCTAGACTAGACTGTTATAGGTTTTAAAGTGACAACTTGCGCTTTAATAAAAATATTCTAGTTTAGACCAGCATTTACACAGTTGACTAAAATTGATATTATTCGAGATTTCAATTAATTTTTCAGAGTTAGTACACTCAAATGCTCTCAGTTCAAAAAAACTCAGAGAGCGAGAGCTTCAGATGAATACTTATTCCAGATTAAAAGTTATGAGTTTTGAAGGGAGCACTTGCTGTTTTGTGAAAGCATTCTCGTTTAGCCTTGCATTTAGACTGTCGCCAAAATTAGTATATTTTATGCTCATTCCTTCAGTAACTAACTATTATTGACTCTGTGGATTTTCTTAAAAAATGTCCTTTTATTTACATAAACAAAATTAAACAACTTGTGCTCTCAACCTCATGAACCACGTTTTTTCATGTCATTATTACGTTTGGGGTTCGCATTTCACTTTTTCAAGAATTGTTTACATTTGCGACGGCGATAAGTGGCCAAGTTTTACGTAAAACTGCTAAACGTCGTAATTTACCGATCATGCAGTGCACATATCATCAGGGAGTTTCACTGCTCGCAACAATCAAACTTTCTCCTGTAAGCTCCAAAGAAATTTCAAGATAACGAAAGCTGCAAAATGTATTATACGAAACGATTATCAGCCTTAATCATTTGATTTTGAAACTCACAATAACAGAACTCGCGCTTTTAATTGTGCTGGAAGTATGAAATGGGGATGTTTTCCTTTGAGTGATTTGATGGCAAAATCATTGACAATAAAGAGAACAGCAAGGTTCTGAATTTTTATTTACTGCTGTATCCACATCAATTCTGAGTGAAATCCACTAAAGTTTGTAAGTTATCATTTTAGTTCATTTTATGATCTTGAACTGAAATTTTATAACAAATTTTCCTTTTAAAATATGTATGCAATAAAATTAAGATTCTCATTGAAAACAAAGTTAAGCTATTTCAATTTAAAGCTTCACTTTATCAAATCCTTCGCCATTGAAACAGAATACTTCTACATTTCAAATAATGACGAATTCGCTTGAAACA